TGGCACGCTAACTCAAATCGATCACATTCGAGTAAGCTACCGTTGGCGTCGCTCAGTACAAAAATACAAGTCCTATTGGACCACCTGCGTTAAATCTGATTATGCGTTAGTTTTGATGCAGTTCACTCTTCAACTCACTGGTCGCAGAAAATCCCACCAAACTCGATTGGCAGATCATCGCTTATCTGACCCAGCCGTTCGTGCCCGTTTCGAATTAGAACTAGGGCAAGAACTAAACGCACTGCGGGGTGGTAGTGTAAATGAAAAATGGGATCGGATTAGCCGAGGAATGCACTCCGCAGCGAACGTTCCTTGTGAATCTGAAGCTGTAGCCCTCTCGAGTCTTTGGATATCTGATGAGTTCGTCGCACTGATGGAGAAAAAGCGGCAAATCCCCACCACCCAGCATCAAGGCAGGATGAGGTGGCTTCTACAACTTAAACTCATGAGGAACCTCAAGAAAGACCGTGAGAACTGGTGGACAATGAAAGCTAGTGAAATGGAAGTAGCAGCTGCGTCAGGGAATATTCAGAGACTGTTGCAACTGATCGGTAAGCGCAGTACTCCAACGAACAGTTCAGGTGGCCAGGCGCTAACCAAACTATCTCCTCCGATGTAACTGAGGCTCGGTGGACAGTTTCATGTGAACCTCCTACTTTAGCATAAGTTCGATCATGCATCCAAACCCTGAAGAAAGGAAAAGCAGCAGGGACGAACGGGTTTCCCGCCACTCTTTTCAAGTTGGGAGGCGATGACCTCGTAGACTCCATTAGTGTTCTAATGTGTAGCATCTGGTAACACGAGCACATTCCGTCATCCTGGAGTGAGTCACTGATCGTTCAAATTTTTAAGAAAGGATCGCGCAACGACTGCGCAGACCACCATGGAATAAGCTTGATCCCAATCGTCATCAACTTACTAGTCTCCATCATACCTCGACTTCTGACGCCGTTTAGGGAGACAAACATGCGTGTACAACAAGCCGGATTTCGACCAGGCCGCGGGTTTGTCGATCAAATCTCCACTCTGCGTCAAGTCCTCGAGCTACGCCGTACGCATAGTCGACCAACGGTTGTCGTGTTCCTTGACCTAAAGGAGCTTTCGACTCAGTTGACCGCGAATTCCTTATGGGTTCACTCCTTCGCAAAGGAATGCCGCAGAAGTATGTGAACATATTGAGTTCACTCTACTCACATACTTCTGGTAGCGTGATGGTCTACGGCGAGCAACGCCAGTTGGTTGTTCGTAACTAGCAGCAGTGTTCGTCAAGGGTGCCGTCTTTCGCCATTACTGTTCAATTTCACCGCAGATGAAATACTGGAGAACGAACTAAGTGGTCTCGAAAATGTAGGTATTGAATGGGCAGCTGAAGAAAAGCTGTGTGATTTGGAGTACGCCGACGCCATCGTCTGCTTGTTCGAATGTATGGAGCATGTGCAAAGGGCACTTGACAGATTAACAAGTTCTGTCGTTACGTTCGACATGTGCTTTGCACCTTCAAAGTTCAAAGTGATGCTACAAGACTGGGTGTCTCCGAGTTCTGTTCTGAAACTAGACAGTCAGGGATTAGCTGAAGTTGACCGCTTCTCGTACTTAGGTAGCTGCGTGACCAACGACGGTAGCGCATCGAAAGAGATAACCGCCCACATTTCCCATGCTCGAGCAGCGTACGCAGGACTAAAACACCTGTGGCGGCTTCGTGACGTTTCACTAAAGTTGAAAATTCGTGTATACTGCGCCACCGCACGATCAGTTCTGCTGTACGGTTTTGAGACCTTGGACTTGCGGGTAGAAGACATCCGTCGTTTAACAGTGTCCGACAACCGATGCCTACGTAGTCTGGCCCAAGTGGGATGGAGTGAGCGGGTTAGTAACTTAGAAGTAGATCGTCGGTTGTTTGTTACTACCTAAAACAAGAACTCGCTATCGCATCGAATCCAGCTCAATAGGCTTCGTTGTTCAGGGCACGTTGCGTGTGTCCGATGGTCGCCTTCCGCAGCGCGCCTTATTCGCGGTGGCTATTGCATGCTGGTAAAAGCCACGTGGTGGCCAGCAGATGGCGTGGAGACGAGGCATGAAGAAATGCTCAGAGCAATTAGGTAGAGTAGGTGTATCCCGTCTTCCGGGTTGGGGTCCAAAAGACTCCGTAACCGCATGTTTGGAGACACTGAAGGTCATGGCTGCGAATCGATAGTAATGGCGATCATGCTGTCACTTCTTATCAGTTCAGAATGCTTGAAATAGTATGTATGCACAGTTGGGCTGTGTTGACGATGGAGATTCACTTTCTTTTCCGTCCCTAAAAATAGGTTCAATCCCTGTCCTTCTTACACATTATCATTTACCTTGTATGCAATATGAGTTTGGCAGCGATCAGTGAAGTTCGCTTCACTGTAATACGCTGTACAATGATGATCATGATGTGTTGGACAGCTTCGCTGTCATCCTGTACTTTGCTGTAAACATCGCTGATCGCATTTAGGCCTCATTCTATTCTCCACTCTGATTCACAAGAATAGGGGACCAGTTCCCTCAAGTATACAGTATGCCCTCGAGAATACGGGTTTCTCTGTTTGAACTGTTCCTAGCACAGTGGTTTTCACGCCGCCATTAAACATTGAAGAAAATCTTATTTATATTAAGTTGATTTAATATTGAACTACTGATTCTTTTCTGAATCTTTTTCCAACGTTGCCTCTCGTAGTGCCTAAAAGACAGACACACTTCTTTGTGCTCTGTATTTTACCGCCTGACGTTTGCTCTGTGTACCGCTCTGATTTCTTTAACGTTTAATTTCGTCAGTTTTGAACATCTTGAATGGAATGTCGATGTCTCTTCACTGTTCCCCACAGCTTGACGTACGTACGATTTCGAAAGCGATCAGCTATTTGAATGGCAAACTGGACACCGTTTCTGCGCTGACGGAACCGCGTGAGAATGCATTTTTGCGCTATCAGGATCGCGGCCAAATGACCCATACAGATTCAGTGTCCCGTGTCGCGGACGCGAAACAGGCTACACAACTGCCCCGTGCATGCACTCCAGTCGGAACGGCCAGTCGCGCGGGACCCGGATCAAGTCAGGATTCACAAACTACAGATGGGTTCCCGAACGCCGCCGCTCTGGGCGGCGGCGGTGGTGGTGGTGGTGGTTCTACTCTGCTCGATATCTCCCGATGTTTGGCTGCGTTCGGACGAATCATTGTCAGTACCACTTATCCGGCTTTATGCACAGCTCGTTTGCCGCAACAATTAGTGGTCAACTTATACGCTCGGGTATGTGACTTCTCCCCTGTGTTTCGAACGCAGCGCTATTGGTGCACGCATTCTGCTTTCTTTTCTTTTTGTCTTTCCAACCCCTCCCCCTCCTACGCGAGGCATTTGACACACGCTTTTATTACTCAACCAAAATTGTTTATACCGAAATGATAATAACAACTAATGACAAACAGCAACAGTCCGAAGCCGTTGAGATCGACCAATCTCAATGGCTGCCATGGTTCTCAAATTTCAGAGTTTAACCCCCGCTACTGCCAACGCATTTTGGTGTTAGGCTACTTGGTTCACTGCCACCATAACTATACCTCTAGGACCTTTTATGAATCACAAATTGATGTCCCATGGTTTTGGTTTCCGTTTTGACTGATTGGCTGACTCATTCCTGGTTACCTTGGGGTTCGCCATTTGTTGTTTCCCACTCCTAGGCTCGTCATAAGTAAGTGGTTCCACTTTTAATGGTCGGTATGTTCCACCAATTTGAGAAACCTTTCTTCTTTACTGGTACTTCTGTATTTATCGATATTTCTACGGTAAACTATCTCCTCAAAGCTATAAATAATGTGAGAAAAATTAATGCTTTTACTTCCTTTTTGTTTACTGAACACAGAAATGTACAATTAACTTCCAAGAAGGGGTCGTGGCCATGCAAAGGCTGCCTGGGGAAATACAGAAAATGGGAAGAATGGTGGTGGTGGCGGGGTTCGAACTCAGGACCTCCAAGTAGTTATTTTGGTGACCCTACCATTCGACTATCGCCGCTAGTGGCGATGTTCATACATGCTCAGTTCCTTAGTTATTTCTGTGTACCCTGGTCCTTGATCAAACTGGACTTCATTGCACAAGTTCGAGGATTTCATCATCTCATTAGCATCTTCATGGTGGTGGCACTTGTCAAGCTGTTCAGGTCTCTGTCAAGAGTTTATTCCGAACCATAAGGTATGAGGTTCGAATCTTCTCACCGACATCACGTATCTGGTTCAGTTTTCATAACCACTAACGATGGATTTTCGTGCGGCCGGTTTGATTGCTGTCCTTTTGTTACTCGAATAGCAAAATTTGTCCAATTACTCTATTATTTTCTGGTTAGAGTGAAATTGGTGGCTGGAACAACCCACTCCTGTAGTGTTTTATACTTTGAAAATGAATAAAGACGCATGTTGAACATAGCTACACTAGCACCCAAACCATCTAGAAAACCTTGCAACCGACCTGGATTTTTACTCCGCATCACAATGCCAACTGCCTATTCTAGATCGAACAGTCTGCCACCTGGAGACGTATCATTGTCGCTATCCTCACTACGTCCATGTCGATCGACTCTGCACCATATCTATCCTTGTGAGGCCTCGTTCGTCACATAACTGCCGGTTGTTATAACTGTGACTGATTGAGAACAATGTTATTGAATACATCGATCTCTACAAATCAATTACCTGACAGGATAGAAGTACTTGCAGCTCTATTTGATGCAATTTATTCGTGCACAACTGAAGTGTAATCTTGTCACAGTCACACTGAAAGTGATCAGTTTGATTACCACGAATCAATCAGTCATATGATAACCAGTGATAGCTAGCTGTACAGTACAGTACAATAAAAGTGCGCTCGCCCTGTGTGCGGCGGGTGGAGGGGGCGGAGTCAGAAGAGGGGATTGGAGCAGTAAATCCACAGTGCATATCTATCTGTACTTTGTTTGCATTGTTTCCAAGGCA